GTCATTCTGAGCCACAACACTTCACAAAAGCAAGATATTCATTCAATATTGGGCATTTGCTGTCAAAATATTATATTAACATTTAATTCATTTGATTATAGACACATTAAAGTTAACATCTAGTCCCAATCCCCGTCTTAACCACTATTTGCCAATTAATTATTGCTCACATTCTCTGTATCATTCACAATAATGCCCAAGCAAGTAAATGATGATGATATGCCTTCTATCAACTAATCAGTCCAACAGACAAGTACAGGTAATGTACAAATGACTATTATATACTGTATATAAATGATTGGCGAGATGCCCTTTTTATTTTTTTTTGAAAGGATGATTTATGTCTATGTACACATGCAAACATTTTGTGTATATATATATATATAGCATTATTGATCTTTGCATAGATATTTACAAATCATATTTACCAAGATGAAAGCTATCATCTCATTACCTTAACATAACAAATGTATACGTTTTTCTATTCGGAAGATGGCGTTTGTTCACAGTAGTTATGTCACACATATCATATACTGTACTGTATATGAATATTGAAATCAATAATTATATATGTATGTATGTGTGTATGTATGAATGTATATATGTACTGTATGTGTGTATGTATGTATGAATGTATGTATGTATGTGTGTATGTATGAATGTATGTATGTATGTGTGTATGTATGTATATATGTATGTGTGTATGTATATATATATATATATACATTATATATATATATATATATATACATTATATATATATATATATATATATATATATATATATATATATATATATATATATATATATATATATATATATATATATATATATATATATATAAAATGCAGAAAAACCACATGTGAAAAATAGAGAATGCTTAACACGTTTTCAGCTAATTCACCTTCATCAGAGCAGAGTAGAATGAAGCTTCATTCTACTCTGCTCTGATGAAGGCAAATTAGCCAAAAATGCATTAAGCATTCTCTATTTTTCACATGTGGTGTTTCCTGCATACTTGGATCATTTTTGTGTGTGTGTGTAATTACCTAAGTGTAATTACCTAAGAGTAGTTACAGGATGAGAGCTACGCTCGTGGTGTCCCGTCTTCCCAGCACTCTTTGTCATATAACGCTTTGAAACTACTGACGGTCTTGGCCTCCACCACCTTCTCACTTAACTTGTTCCAACCGTCTACCACTCTATTTGCGACCTAACCTAACCTAGGTGTGTGTGTGTGTGTGTGTGTGTGTGTGTGTGTGTATATGTTGTACCTAATAGCCAGAACGTAGTACTCGGCCTATTATGTAAGGCCCAATTTGCCTAATAAGCCAAGTTTTCCTGAATATATATATTTTTCTGATTTTTTTCTTGTTAAATGATAAAGCTACCCATTTCATTATGTATGAGTTCATTTTGTTAAATTTGAGTAAAAACTAACGTAGATATATGACCGAACCTAACCTACCCTACCTAACCTATCTTAACCTGGCCTAAACTAACATAACTAAGTAAATAATTAATGTTCTAAATGTAATATAATAATAATAATTCAAATTAACCAATTGGAAACAATTTGTTGAAAATTTCAAAATTCACTCGGCCTATTAGGCAAATCGGGCCTGCATACTAGGCCGAGAAATGCATTCTGGCTACTAGGTACGACATCATTTATATATATATATATATATATATATATATATATATATATATATATATATATATATATATATATATATATATATATATATATATAATGTCGTACCTAATAGCCAGAACGCACTTCTCAGCCTACTATGCAAGGCCCGATTTGCCTAATAAGCCAAGTTTTCATGAATTAATTGTTTTTCGACTACCTAACCTACCTAACCTAACCTAACCTAACTTTTTCGGCTACCTAACCAAACCTAACCTATAAAGATAGGTTAGGTAGGGTTGGTTAGGTTCGGTCATATATCTACGTTAATTTTAACTCCAATAAAAAAAAATTGACCTCATACATAATGAAATGGGTAGCTTTATCATTTCATAAGAAAAAATTAGAAAAATATATTAATTCAGGAAAACTTGGCTTATTAGGCAAATCGGGCCTTGCATAGTAGGCCAAAAAGTGAGTTCTGGCTGCTAGGTACGACATATATATATATATATATATATATATATATATATATATATATATATATATATATATATATATATATATATGTCGTACCTAGTAGCCAGAACTCACTTCTTGGCCTACTATGCAAGGCCCGATTTGCCTAATAAGCCAAGTTTTTCCTGAATTAATATATTTTTTCTAATTTTTTTCTTATGAAATGATAAAGCTACCCATTTCATTATGTATGAGGTCAATTTTTTTTTATTGGAGTTAAAATTAACGTAGATATATGACCGAACCTAACCAACCCTACCTAACCTAACCTATCTTTATAGGTTAGGTTTGGTTAGGTAGCCGAAAAAGTTAGGTTAGGTTAGGTAGTTAGAAAAACAATTAATTCATGAAAACTTGGCTTATTAGGCAAATCGGGCCTTGCATAGTAGGCCAAAAAGTGAGTTCTGGCTACTAGGTACGACATATATATATATATATATATATATATATATATATATATATATATATATATATATATATATATATATATATATATATATATATATATATATATATATATATATATATATATATATATATATATATATATATATATATATATATATATATATATATATATATATATATATATATATATATATATATATATAAATACATACATACATACATACTCTGTATGTGGTATATCTAGTTTTCTTTATCAGGTGCAAATTTGACAAAACCAATGGTATTGGCATACACTACTCTCTTATAATTTATTTCATCCATCTAGCACTCTATTTGAAGAAAGAAAAGTACTGTATGTACATTTTTTCGGCACCTAAGTTTCATTCATTTGTACCATTTATTTATCTTAAGTAATTTTGCAAGATGTGAGTCATTATCTTTTCAGGGATCTTAGCATATTATGAAAACATGTTCATTTAACTTTGTATTCCTTCAGGCAGATCATTTATACTGTATATTTAATTAACACTACTGGTCCTCACACTTAACTCTATAAGACCGTGCTATCAACATTCCTCCAATATGATCTATGCCTTCTAATCACTGCTCTTATCTTTTCACCTGTCAGAGAATGTTTCGTTACTAACAGTAGCCTTTGTAGTACTCCTAGCTGTATGCATCAGCCTCACCCCCTCAAACCTCACGGCCATGTATAAAAAACTTTAGGATATTCCCCATGGCTATCATTCAACCTCTAAACAACTGCATTAATTGCTGTTATAATACAAATGTTCTTGTGTATTTGTGTATGTCTGCTTATCTCTATTAACCAGTCTGTCTCCCGAACCCCTTTCTCCCTCCCCCGTCCACTCAAGGTCATTTCATGTGGTATCACTAAAATATTTGCCTTATTGGATTACTTTATTAAAATTGTATTTCTGTCTACTCCCACCTGTATCTGACCCCTCCAACCCTCTCTGCTATGTGTAAATACTAACTCAAGGATATTCTGTACTATAGTGTAAAAAAGTATAAAATATTTGTTGTATTAAAAGTTTCCATTTTCCATTTGACTTCAGTTTAAATTATGCAATAATGTGTGTTCAATTAAAAAAAATAAAAATAAAATTATAGTAGTGGCCAAAGGATATAGAAAGATGATCAGAAGCAATGGAATATTAATGGCAATGAAAGCGTTTAGAACCAATTGTTTCATTTGAGCTTGTTTCTTTAAATGAATGCAAATTACCTAAGTAGTTATAGGAAGGTGTCCCATCTTCACTATACATTTTGTCATATGATGCCTTAAAACTGCTAATTGTTTTAGTATCCACCACTTTCTCAAATTTGTATAGCCATCTACAGCTCCGTTTACAATGCATGCATGAGTATGTGCATACATTTATTTATTTTTATATATTATATATATATATATATATATATATATATATATATATATATATATATATATATATATATATATATATATATATATATATATATATATATATATATATATATATATATATATATATATATATATATATATATATATATATATATATATATATATATGTCGTACCTAGTAGCCAGAACGCACTTCTCAGCCTACTATGCAAGGCCCGATTTGCCTAATAAGCCAAGTTTTCATGAATTAATGTTTTTTCGACTACCTAACCTACCTAACCTAACCTAACCTAACATTTTCGGCTACCTAACCTAACCTAGCCTATAAAGATAGGTTAGGTTAGGTTAGGTTAGGTAAGGTTGGTTAGGTTCGGTCATATATCTACGTTAATTTTAACTCCAATAATAAAAAATTGACCTCATACATAATGAAATGGATAGCTTTTATCATTTGATAAGAAAAAAATTAGAGAAAATATATTAATTCATGAAAAGTTGGCTTATTAGGCAAATCGGGCCTTGCATAGTAGGCTGAGAAGTGCGTTCTGGCTACTAGGTACGACATTATATATATATATATATATATATATATATATATATATATATATATATATATATATATATATATATATATATATATATATATATATATATATATATATATATATATATAGTATATATATTTTACACATACAGTATATATATACATGTTGTACCTAGTAGCCAGAATGCACTATTTGGCCTACTATGCAAGGCTCGATTTGCCTAATAAGCCAAGTTTTCATGAATTTATATATTTTTCCTTATTTTCTTTTATGAAATGATAAATCTATCCATTTCATTATGTATGAGTTCATTTATTTTGTAAATTTGAGTTTAAACTAACATAGATATACTGTATGACCGAACCTAACCAACCCTACCTAACCTAACCTAACCTATCTAAACCTAACCTAAACTAACATAACTAAGTCAGCAATTTATGTTCTTGATATAATATAATAATAAGAGTTCAAAAAAAGCAATGGGAAACAATTTATTGAAAATAAAGAAAATCACTTGGCCTAATAGGCAAATTGGGCCTTACATAGTAGGCCGAGAATTGCGTTCTGGCTACTAGGTACGACATATTTTATTTATTTATTTATAAACTCACAAATTGTATCTGGATTAAAGACCTGACAGTAAACACATTTTGCTAATGACATAGCTTATTACACATGCTTCAGATATTCCTTGTACATGATCAATTAACCAATCATGTTCTGTGAAGAGAAAGCTAAAACAACAAGTCCAAATATTTTAGCTTAAAGACTATTTTAAAAGCTTCATATACTTATTAACTATTACCCACATTTAAAAACAACACTTATGCCAATACCAAAAACCATGCTCTATTTTGTTATAACAATCTTAACACAAAGTAACTAACATTCTTTTCACTGAAACATGATAATTACAAAGGAGTTCACCAATGAAATAAGATCAGAGTGGTATCATCACCGATCTCATAATCAACATTTAAGTCTAACTTTTAATTACTTTATATCAAATTTGACTGATGAGCTTTGACTTCAGACAACTTTAGCAATATGATTCTGTGCACCATTTGCCTCAAGTGGGCTTTTTGTTTGATGGCCAACATGATCAATAACGTCAACATCAACCTTACCTTCGTCTCCTTCACTACCCGAGGGAGTAGGGTCCTCCGTAGAGGTATTGCTGGGCTCAAAGTGCCTTGGAGACTTATTGAGAATAACCTTCATCTCAAACTGCTGTTGAGACTGTTGCTGTTGTTGGCTAGTGATGACTGTGACATCATTACCCCCACCATCAGAGTCGCTGTTCATGACTGCACTGTTGCGATTGCTACCAGTTCCGTTACGTGCCTCTTTCTCCTTGTCGTGTTTGTATTTCTCTTTCTTCTCATTTTTCTTCTCGCTATCTCTTTTATCTCCATTTCTGGCTTTCTCCTTATCTCTTCTCTTACCTAAATTTGGAATTGGAATGTTCGCAGGTACAAACTTTGTTTTCTCTTTTCCCTCCTTTTCCTTCTCCTTATCTCTTTCTCTCCCCTCTTTTTCTTTACTTTCCTTTTCTCTACCTGAGCCTTGAGGAGTTCGAATAGGTTTGCCTGAGCTTTTATCATCAATATCAGCTTCTTCGGAGATTGATGTGAGTGGCTTCCCTTCTTCTGTGTTCTGGATAGGAATATCATCTGCAGAAAATGTAAAAAGAGGTTTTTAAACGAGAAAAAAATAATGAGTAAGAAAAATAAAAAGTGCAAAAGGTGAGGTACAAACAAAAATATAATCTCACTATTGAAAAAAATATAATTATGACAACACACAAAAAAATGTGAGGGTACAATGAACATTATTAGGATGGGGCAAAATGATGAAGTATTAGTATGAACCATTTCAATGCTAACACTGTATATACAATATGATGCTAGTACTGTATTTATTATTTGTATCTGCAGAATCGAGCTATTAGCTCTTGGACCCTACCTCTCTAACCAATTTGTTTTTGTATATACCGTACTGTATATACAATACAATGATAGTACTCTATATACAATAAAATGATAGTACTGTATATACAATACAATGCTGTATCTCCATTGCTTTTATTAAAAATAATAAATATAAGATTCTGGAGTTTAATTTTCTATTTAAAAATAAACTAAATTAGTTCTAATTTCCATAACTTCATGACTTTAACTCAGTCCTGTTGGAAGTTAGTGCCTTACCCTGGTCACAATGATCAACAAATATTTTATAAATATGAAAATTACAGTACAATACTCCATTTCAAATTATTGAGGTTTTACAAAGCTGATGTAACAGCTGATGTAAACAAACATTTCCATTTTATTGCTCATTATCCAGAGGACATTGTTTGTACTGTATTTGCCAACACTCAGTGGCACTAAAATACACTCGGTAGCACTTGCACATAGATGGTATTACTAATGTAAAATGAAAACAGTCTTATGCGGTCTGGCATAATGAATAATCCAGACGATGATGATTACTCAATATATTCGATGCGTGAAAATCTCAAGTGGTCTTATATAGTCGAGGCATTCAATGGTTTAAAATGTTTTATGTTTTTTTTTGTTGAAGAGGGTTATTTCTCTTGGATAACATCATGTAGCCCCAACTCATTTGAAAATAAAATTATATCAAATTAAAACAAAAGTGCAACAACTAAATGTAGAGAGCAGAGCAGTGTCCATTACCAAACTTTTAATAAACAAATAAATATAACCAGAAAATACATTAAAGTGTTGCCCGAGGTGCTACCTTGATGATAATATACAACTACTAAAATACACAATATTGTACAGTATATAAAGTATGCTTAGTATAAATGATACAACAATATACCTTCAATAACTTCATAAAATATAGTCATATACCAACAATCTCTGTCTTGATCTGAGATATTTAACAACAATACATTACAGTTACAGTATATATATATATATTTCATGCCAATAACACTCAAATGATATTAAATGTTAATTCACTGCTAATCTATAGATCTAGTGCACTACAAGTACATACTGTATACTGAACCTTGGAAAAAAAATAAACAATTAAAAAATAAAACCATGCTAAATGTAATTTATATCAAAATTACATAAAATTATTTATTACCAGCCTATAAAGCATGTGAACAACACATCACTTACTATTATGTTAAAACCAAGCCACACACCCTCAGCTCGGCCCCTCACTTCACTCTCCGAAAGAATTATTGCTTTTTTAATGCCATAATAAAGACCTTGCTGTCAAGTGAATTTCTGCTCCCTTAACATCAGCATGGTTTTTTAATAGTACATGGGATAAAGAAAATTATAATGCAAGAAATACTGGAAAAGTTTCAGTTTCAATAGAATGTTTACAAGTACAGTAGTAAAGTTTACACCCTGGAAGATTAGGGCTAGCATCACAAATATTTGATTAAATTTGTTATATTTTTCACTCTTTGTCTACATTTTACTTTAGCTAATAAATGTACTTAAGGCTCTCAAATATCCCAGAAAGTTTCCTCTATCATATGACCATCAACAACAATGCTTCTTGGCCTCATAGGCTGTCCCAATGCTTCAGATGAATGGCGGTGCATAACTTTACTAGGAGTTGAAGGAGCAGACTGATAATGTTTTGGACTGAATCTTTGCCCAGTATCTGAAGAATACCTAGGATGACTTGGGTATTTGCCATCTACATAAGGGGATGGAGATGATGCACCCGAGCTATTCAGCGAACTTTCCTCATCCAATGCAGCACTCTGACGAGTACGAGATCGATGGCTTGAACTAGGTGACAAATTTTGAAAGGCAATAAATGGGTTGTGGGATTTCAGGAAACAAATAATTTTTTTTTCTGAACTAGGTGAATGGTCTTTCAGAGAAAGTTCAGCAGAAAGAGAGGAAGAATCTCCAGATTTTGAAAGGTCAGAAGCTGCTTGACCTCCTGAAGGTGTTCTCTTGTGTTTGCGATTTAAGTGTAAATCAAGGAAATTTCCTTTTGGAGACTGAGTTCCTCCTCCTTCTTGTTTACCACTAGATGGTCTGGAGGAGAGACTTGTTGAGTCCACAGGTTTAGAATGCTGTATATCTGAAGAGCCTGAATTACCTGATGGTGTTCTTTTATTCTTACGAGATACATGCAAATCAAGTCTTATTCCTTTAGGAGACTGTGAATCTTCTTTGTTTTGTCTAGGAGATAGAATTGAGGACTCTCCAGATTTAATAGAAATATGATCATTAGCTCCTGGACCTCCAGAAGGTGTTCGTTTGTGTTTTCTATAGAGGTGCAAATCCAAGAGATGAGCTTTTGGGGACTGGGAACCACCCTCCTGCTTAGCATTAGATGGCCTTGAACTCGTGTCATCTGTCTTTCGAGAGTCTGAATTTTTAACAATTTTAGATTCAGGAATCATTTTGAGTGCATTAATTCCCATCTGAGGAGCGAAACGAGAGAAGGAGGGACCAGCTGGTGGTGTAGCAGGACCAGTTTGGGCGTGGCCTTGAGCTGGCAGCTGTGTTTGCGTTAACGTTGCATCACGGCTAATATCCACATACCGCTCCAAGGCAAATGGATCTTCCTCATCACCAGTATACTCTAACAGATCATCTACCATGCCGCATGCAATAAACGTGCAACATATATTAATAATTAAGTTCTCATTTCATGTATTTATAATGTGTTGCTTTTTAAGCGCTTATGTCACATAAAAGCCTTGATATATTTTATCTAAACACTTAACCTACTAATGTCTAATCACACAGAGGGGTGGTGATGGAGATGACCAGGAGTGCCAAAACATTTGTATATGTTTCTCTCTCTCTCACTCATCTGCCTAATGTTATCATGGATATCCTAACTATACCAGCACATTAGTCTGCTTGTCATATATCGGTATAAAATAGCATTAAAGCATTAAGATGGAATAGTTTTTTCCTTTAAAACTGTAATGTTTATCATAAAGACACCCAAACCACAAATATGAAAATAGAAGAATTGATGACATTTGAGTCCATCCTGGACTTTATGAAGTCATGGTCTTGATGATGATTCTGGACAGACTGAAACGTGGTTAATTCTTTTATTTTCTGATTTGTGAGTTGGGTGTCTAATTTTTAGCCCTGTTATTGTGACACTGTCTGCAATATTATAAACTATAGCATTCTATTAAAGATGAATGATTGTGTATATACTTAAATAATTCAGGGGGCTGAATGATTAGGTGCTCATATAGAAATAAATTAGTATATTATCCAATATTACAGTTTATTACTTAAACTTGTTGCCATATACAGTAATGCAGTTTTGCATGAACTAGTAAGCAAAATTAACACACAAATATCTTCAAAATCAAATAATTTTGTTTTGACAATTACTGAAAACTACTGTACCTCACAAGAGTAAGTTTGCAATATTAGGTGTTCAACAGATTTTAAATTAGGTGTTTAACAGATTAGGTGTTCATTAGCTTTAAGATATCTATGATGTTGATGGGTTTAAGTCTTGGTTATGAATGGTTGTTCTTATGAAGCATAGGAATTGCTCTCCCTTATACAGTAAAGTTAAATCATTAGCTCCACTCAACAAATTACAGCACCTTATTAAGCTGCACATTATGCCTTCAAAGACACTGCTTCTCAGTTGTCAATCTTCCTTTATGATTTTGACTTTTACCTTCCTCTGCATAATTTTATGTTAGCGTGGCAAAGCTCACTTAATCAAATACTAACTTTTTTTATTATTTTTATTTTATTTTATTTTTTAAAAGTTGAAATTCCAAGACTGCACAACTACCCAAGCCACTTTAAGAATTACTTAATAAATGTTTGAAGTACAGGTATTATATTTCAATCTATTAGCACCTAAAATGTAAAATAAAAATGGCGTGGTGAAGGTCTGTATGCACTACATCAATTTAAAAGCGAGTAAAGACATGGACAACGACATCCATTGTATGCACATGATATTTCAATATGTTTTCTCCCTCTTATGAATAAGGGATTTCTAGAAATGACAAGTTATTAGCACATCATATATTATGTAGTAAAACAACAACAAAATTATCTTTTCAACTGAGGTGACAGACCTTCCTAGGTCTCGGGTGTCTCAAACAGCAGTGATGTGAGACGAAATCAAACAAAATCATGCAAGGCCAGTTTTCCAAATCCTTGCCTACCTTCTAAATAATGCATGCCACTGAAGGAGATTATGCTGAGAATGGACTGTCCCTAGTAAGGCACTAAGCTGAGGAGGGTGGAATAGGTGGGACAAAGACTACTTCTGTATAACTGGGGAGGGGGGAGCAAGGCACCCAGTGAAGAACACCCCCTTGGAAGGATCATGTCTAGATGCTTGAGCACATTTGTACGAGAGGGTTCACCCTGGTCACTCCACCACACCAATTTCCCTCTAGAAATATGAAGAATGATTGTCAGATAGCATGAATAATATACCAAAATGCATATACAGTATATTTTTTTTAAGCTCATTTGGAAAAAAAATTAGGAACCAATAATGATATTAACTATCAATCAGATAATATGCCCACTTTGAATAACACAGACTTCCTACATGCCAAATCCAAGAATATTCCTACAACCCAGATCCAAGAACATTCCTACAACTGAGATTTAAGAACATTCCTACAACCCAGATCCAAGAACATTCCTACAACTGA